AATAAAATCTTTAAAAAAAAAAAAAAATCAATATAAAAGTATCAGTCAATATATGTAAAAGTATCCAAAGTGAGACGTAGAGGTTGAAAAGTTTAGGTTGCTCTACATCTCTTTGTTCTACCTGGTCATTCTTCACAAATCTTCTCATTTTTAAGGCACAACAACCACAACTAGATACCCAAAGTTTCAATAACAGCAATCAAAATTAGAAGCAAACAAAGCAAAAAGGACTACTTCCTAGCTTTTCACGTCCAATTTTTTTACACATCCACTTAGTGTAACATTGCCTTTTTCAATAGGCCCAGCTCATGTTCAATAGCAGCATTTTCTGCTTGGTATGTACCTGACCAATCTTTCTTGTCTATATTTGCACTGGAGGTTTTTTGGTCCTTGCAAATGCCTGAAAGTACCTCTGTTAAACATCAGCTATGCTTATACTCTACTTTTCTTATTTATCAGATTCAAGTGGATTTTTCCCCTATCTTTCAAATTATTAGTAACCCAATCTAATTTTACCCCAAGTTGAGATGAAAATATTGATCAGACGGAGCCCAAAACATCATCCTTGCTCTCCTTCCCTCTTCCCCCCGCCCAATTCCCATCCTCCCTCAACAGCAACCCCCTCACAGGTCCACAATGCTTCAGCACTGAAATTCCTTGGGAACCTGGAGAATCACGGGAAGGTTTAGAACAAAGAAGACAGAGACATTGTTTGGAAACTGCTCTTACCTCCTGCACATTGGCCAGCTCCAGCAGTTCTCCAAAGACATATACTCCAGGAGCCTCCAACACCTGGCTTATGAGAGCAGTGAGGGCTGAGCCACTGGTACCTTTGGCTAGTAAAATAAACTGTTCCAGGAGGTTACTTGAGGGTTTCTGTTCACCTGCCATTCTCTGGCCTTGAGATCTGTCCAAAAGAAAAGTGTTTCAACCATTCTTCCTTCTCCTTTGCAAAGTCTATGCTTATTTATTGCCAGATCAAACATCAGAATACTTTAATTTGATAGTATCCAAAAAAAGAAAAACAGTCCAGATGCTATGACCACTTTGTGAGATGGGCAGGGTTCCACCTAAAGTTAAAGGAATTGTGTCCTTGCTCAGAAGTTTGAAACACACTTAGGAAAAGCCACTTCATCCACATGTGGCCGTCTTCCAACAGCAGCACCTTCTAAGCCCTTAAACCTGACTAGATCCAAGGAAACACACAGGAGTTTTTCAATAGCTGCTTTATATCTACCTCATTTATAGACTAATTAAGAAACAGAGAATTTTGCCCAAACACAGAGGCAGCAGATGTAAGCAAAAGCAATCAGTTACAGTTTACAGTGTGTCATTAGAATCCCACCTACACATACAGATAAGGAAAACCACAAAAAGCAGACAAGAAAGATGTCTCATTTAATCAAAGAAGTTACTTGAGCCTAAGTAAAGGGGGAAATCATAATGAAAGATAATCAACATATTCAAACTAAGAAAATACATGCTGTGTAAGTCCTTGAGGAAAATCTCTCTATTTGACCTCCTAATGCTATGTGATTTTACCAAACACGATTTCAGAATTTGTACGAAATCTCAAGAAAATAATAAAAGGATTTGACAAAACAATGAGGATACTGTATTGCCATCCTGAAGACATTAGGGGCCCAGGGTCCCTCAACTGTTAATCCAATTACACGCTGACTAAAAGGGAACACACACTGCATACCTACTCTGCAGGAGTCCTGTGTAAGAAAAGACTACTCCACCAAGAACGACACATTTGGGGGCAGTGTTACAAAAAGAAGAGGTAGAGTAAAGTGAAGAAAAGAATAATTCAAACGACAGTTTGGTGCAAGAGAAACCAAGTTTTCCTGTGGAGGCAGGCATACAGAGCAGCACTCCTTTCACAGTATGAGAGAAACAAGCATGTCGCCTGACTTAGGGTTACATAAGAATGTCTTGTCCGAAACAGAAAAAGTGAAGTGCTAGGGAAGAAAAGCTGCTGAGGAAGGAAGGGGAAAGGGGAGAGATGGGGTAAGGTGGGAGGCGGCGGGAGAGAGGTGATGGAACGAAAACCTCCCCTCCAAGCGCACACGTATGGAGACTGAATGGAAGGACCTGGGGTGGAGAGGGAGAAATGGACAGAAACTTCGGTCCCTCAAAAAAATCTCGGCCTAAGGCGCCAAGCCTGTAGGCGCAAAGAGGTAAGGAGGCATTGAGAGTCGCTTTTTTCTGAAGTTGGAGGGCCGGAGGAAGCGGCTAGGGACACAGGGGAGAAGACTTCGCGTCGTGCGGGGGCGCTATTATGATGCACAGCAGAGGGGCAAAGAGGCAGCCTTTGGAGATGGGGAAGCGATGACGGCCTCGGTTGAGGAACTGAGGGTTGCAGGCTGGGGTGGACTTCAAGGCGGGCGGCGTGCTCCAGGCAGGGCCGCGGGTGGGGAGCGAGGAGCCGCGGGGCGCGCTCCCCGGGGCGGGGCCGGCGCGGTGCGGCCGCGGGCTTTCCTGGGGACTGGTGCTAAACCAGACGGCTGGGACAAGCCTGGCGCGCCGGGCCCCGCCCTCTCGCCGACCCCTACCTGCCCTCGCCGTCTCTCCGTCCTCTCGGTCGCTGGCTCGGCCTCCCGGCGCCTGTCCGCAGGTTGTCAAGCGTCCATGATCGGCTCGGCGTCCGACGCTTTTCTGCCTCCGCCGACCCGTTGCCCTTGCGGCTCCCCCGGAAGCCTCCCGCCGCTGCACTCGAGTTCCGCCCACACTAGGTTCCCCCCGCGGCGTTGGCAGCCTCAGACCTCCAGTGCGGCCTGGGCTTGGGAGAGACCGTTCGAGGTGGGTCGTAGCCCAGGAGCGGGGTGGAGAGGAGCCTGAAGAGAGGAATGCAGTCTAGGCAGTGATGGGGCCCAAACCATCGCCATCACCGTCACCATCACCATCCCGGGCTCGAAATCCACCGCTTTGGCCAAGCTTTACCCTTCAGGAGCTCCCTACGGCAGCTGCGGCTACCCCGGGATACAAAGACATATTAAGTGTAATAACAACTCCCGTTTATTGAGCGTTTTCCCATGTGCCAGGTGTGTACAGTGTCTGGTTGAGTTACCATAACGCTAAGCTTAAAAATCCAAAAGCTAGTTAAGTGGCAAGGTCGGCTTTGGACCCCAGGCTATTGGAAGCCAAAGACCATATTCGTGACCTCTGTTCAGAAAACGTTTTAAAATAGGGGCACCTGGTGGCTCAGTTGGTTAAGCGTCTGCCTTCGGCTCCGGTCATGATCCCAGGATCCGGGGATCGAGCCCCACGTCCAGCTCCCTGCTCAGCGGGGCGTCTTCTTCTCTCTCTCCCACTCCCCCTGCTTGTGCTCTCTCTCTCTCTCTCTCAAATAAATAAAATCTTAAAAAAAAGTTTTAAAATAAGCAAGAGATGGGTTGAGCCAACAATGGCTCTGTGAGCAAAATGACAAAAGTAGCGTTGCATTTGGTACTTAGCAACTCTCCTGGAAGATGGCTAAGGAATGCTACACAGCTTAACACTTAAGCTGGTTCCTTTAAAGTACACACCACAGACTTTCGGGTCTTGAAGACATGGAAAAGAGCCCTATTTGCTCTTGGTGAATCATGGTGCAGAAGTCAGACAAATGCAAAGGAGCCTAGCACCAACCCACTGATTTATTCAAAAAATGTTTTGTTCTAATTTCTGTGTTCTAGAAGGTTATATAAAGAGAAGACAAGGTTCTTGCCCTCAAAAAGTTTCAATGTGGGGGTGCCTGGCTGGTTCAGTTGGTAGAGCATGAGACTTTCAATCTCCAGTCGTGAGCTCAAGCCCCACATTGGGTATGGAGCTTACTTAAAAAAAGAGGAAAAAAAAGCTTTAATGTTTTAAGTGCTATGAGAGAGATATGACAATACTTTGGAAGCACAGAAGAGAGTATGTATGTTGGTTAAGAGAAAACAGGCATCTTCTGAGCAAAAAGGGGGGAAAAAAGGCAGCAGATCATACTCACAGAGGCTTGCTCTGTGTACCATATACTAATGCAAAAAAGAAACCCAGAGTGTCTGGAACCCAAGGTTCAGGGATGAGAAGTGAGGGCTACAGACCTGGAGTCAGGACATCAAGGGTCTTATAAACCACATGCAGGGCAGTATACCAGGTAAAAACCTTAATACAGCGAAGTTCCTACCTGGGAGAGCCCACAGCCTCTGAGAGAGACAGACCTCTGGCTATGACAGACAGTTGCCACAGGCACCCTAGTGGTACAGATAAGGCTCTCCTGCCTGTGCTCTGGGGAGAGGTGATTTAAGGCACGGTTCTGGAGATGAGGCTTGAGGTGAGCGTGGAAGAATGAGCAAGCAAATCACAAAAAGTGTAAGCATGTAAAGGAGTTTTTATTTTATCTTAAGGGCATTGGGGAGTTACTTAGGGCTTTTAACCTGTGGAGAAGTGTGACTAATTGACACTTTAGAATGATCACACTAGCTGCTATAGGAATGGATTGGATATGGAGAGAGCTGGAGGCAGGGAAACTCTTGAGGTGATTGATACAGTATAGATAAGGGATTGTGAGATCCTGAACAAAGGCACTAGCAGTTGGCATGAAAAAGAAAGGACATTGTTGGAGGCATTTAGACTACAGAATCTGCCTGACTTGGTGACCAGTTGAAGGCAGGGATAGGAAAGGAGAGTATCACCTAGGATTCTGGTTACGCAGGCCAGAGCTGTCTTGGAGGGGGTGGTAAGTGAATGGGGCTGCAGAGGAGAAAAAGCAAATTTGGCAGTGGAGGGAAGACAACTAAGTTCTGTTTGAGTTCATAAATATTCTGGCAGTGCCTCTACTTTCTCCAGAATAATGTCCAAACTCCAAGGCCACAGTGAGAACCCTTCTCAGGATGCTTCCCTCCAATCTTTCCAGCTTTGTCTCGCCCCACCCTCTTACAGCCCAAACTCCAGGCCTTCCCATGCCCAACACAACTTACACCTTCCCTCTCTGACACCAGGGCCTATGCTCAAGCTTGCTTTCTCTTCTTTTTTGCAATGCTCTTACCTCCTATTTGCCTGTTAAAATCCTACCAACCCTGTAGGCAAAGATTTCTTAATGCAAAAAAGCACTAATCATAAAAGAAAACACTGAACTATTGTACTACATTAAAATTAAGAATTTCTTGGGGGCACCTGGGTGGCTCAGTTGATTAAGCGGTCCTGGAATCGAGCCAAGCATTGAGCCCCGCATCGGGCTCTGCATCGGGCTCTGCATCGGGCTCTCTGCTCTGCAGGGATCCTGCTTCTCCCTCTTCCTCTGTCCTTCCTCCAGCTTGTGCTCCCTCGCTCGCTCACTCTCTGTTTCGCAAATAAATAAATAAATAATCTTTAAAAAAAATAAAATTAAGAATTTCTGTTTATCAAAGACACCAGGGCGAGACTAAAAAGGCAAGCCACAGACTTGGAAAAGATATTTGTGAAGACTGTACCAAAGAACTCCATATCCAAACTTTATAAAGAACTATAAATCAATAAGAATAAGAAAACAAAAAGGGGCGCCTGGGTGGCTCAGTCAGTTAAGCGGCTGCCTTCCGCTCAGGTCATGATCCCAGGGTCCTGGGATCGAGCCCCACGTCGGGCTCCCTGCTCAGCGGGGAGTCTGCTTCTCCCTCTCCCTCTGCCTGCCTCTCTGCCTACTTGTACTATCTCTATGTCAAATTAAAAAAAAGAATAAGAAGACAAAAAGCCTAACTTAAAAAGTGGGCAAAAGACTTGAACAAGCACTTAGAAAGAGGACACTGAAATAGTCAAAAAGCATATGAAAAGGTGCTCAACACCAGAGACAATGTAAGAAAAAACGATAAATAAGACACCACATTTAGCCAAAATAACTTAGCCACTGGGTGGCTCAGTCGTTAAGCGTCTGCCTTCAGCTCGGTCATGACCCCAGGGTCCTGGGATCAAGCCCCACATCGGGCTCCCCCCTGCTTCTCCCGCTCCCACTCCCCCTGCTTGTGTTCCTGCTCTCGTTGTCTCTCTGTCAAATAAATAAATAAAATCTTTAAAAAAAAAAAAAAGATACCACATTTAGCCAAAATACCTAAGTTATAAAGACTTGTAAGACCCTGTTTGGACAAGGATAAAAGTCAACTAGAATTTTCTTACATTGCTGGTGAAGGCAAAAGTGATACAAACACTTTGGAAAACTGGCAAAATCTACTACTGTTGCTGATCATATGCATACTGTATAAGCCAGCTACTCCTCTCCTAGAAATGAGTGCAGAGTCTGCAAAAAGAAACCTATAAGAATGCGCATTGCAGCTTTGTTAACAAAAGCCCAAAACTGATAACTGACAACCTATATACCCATCAACAGAATAGACAAATATTGCTAGATACATACAATGGAATACTAGTCAGCAATTTAAAAAAAAAGTTACTGCTACATACATCATGGATGAATCTCACAAAAATAATGGATTAAAGAAAAAAGCCAGACTCCTACTATACATACTGTATGATTACATTTAAATGAAATTCATGACAAAACTGATTTATGGTAATAGAAGCCAGAAGAGTGGTTGTCGGGATGGGAGGATGCAGTGCCAATTGGGAAGCGGCATAGGGATGCTGGAAATGTTCTATATCTTGATTTGGGGGGTGGTGACAGAGGTGTATACATATATAAAAACAGTGCCCTTCCTGCATATATCATACCTCATTAACAAAAAAATTTCAAGATAAATTTTTTTAACAGAAAAAAAAAAAAAAACCCACCCATCCTTCAAATTCAAATGCCACCTCCTCCCTCAGTTTTGCCAGCTGGAATTAATCTTTCCATCAGAACCTCTGTGGCATTCAGATGACCTTTCCCTTATGACATTTATTGCAGCTCATCTTGAATCTCAGCAGTCTCCTTTCTTTCCTAACTAGATGGTTATCTTCCTGGTGGCTGTGACAATGCCTTTCACCCTTTACCGGAAACCTGAAAAGGCTCTTTGTTGAATTACAATGGAAGGAAATATTGGGTGGGTGCCTAGATGGGTGAAAGGGGGACGGGAAGAGGAAGGAAGGCCTAGGGAAAGAGATAGATGTCCAAGGAAACCTTAGCTTACACAATTTTACCTAGTTCCTAAAATCACAATAAATGTCATCTTAAGCAACAAACACAGAACAAATCAAACCACTAAGTCCTAAGTCCTTCCTAGACTGAAGATAAACACACATTACACTCCTTCCCTAACAGGAAATCCACCAAATGAATGCTTGCCTAACCTCTGGGTGTTTCAACCTAGATGGGGAAACTTCACCAAGGAGAATAATAATCACATAGCCAGGTTGCTAAAAATATCGCCACCTTAGTGTGGTGTAAACAACGCAGACTGCGGGTCAGGAGACTTAGAGCCGAATTCTAACTCTGTCCCAAGTTGCTGTAACCGGTGGACAATCTCTTCACCTCTCTGGGCCTCAGTTCCCTCGTATGTAAAACAAGAGGAGTTGGGTTGGCAAATTCTCTTAATATCCCTTCCGGTATGGATATTCTGAGAATACAATCGATATCTTTCCCAGTCCAACGCAGGAGCACACCAGAAACCCCTGCAAAACAAGTAAAAGGCGCCCCAGACCAACAAACAAGCACGATTTGAAGGAGTCATTTTGTCATATTATCTTCCATGGTTTAATCAGTGTTTTGTTTGTTGTTTGCAGCCTTACCATGATTTGCAGGAGATTTCTGAGTTCCATGTAAACAGACGTTACCCCTCTCTGGGCTGTCATCCTCCTCTGAGAGTTAAGGGAGTCTTCCCGCACAGTTTCAAGTCTCCGAATTCAGAAACCCCAAAGCTGAAGGAGGGTTTATGAATTTGCGCACACTGCGCGGCACACTGGAGTCTAAGTTACAGAAGGACAGGGTGCAGGGAATGCTGGGATTTGTAGTCCCTGGGCCTCTTTGTTGCGTGCTGGGATCTGTGGTTCCCCCGGGCACTCCCCCTGGAATGCTGGGAAACGTAGTCCCTCTCACATCGCACAGTGCAACCCGCCGTCACCTCAGAGCCCTAGTGTGCCCTGCGGAGGGAGCAGGCCCCTCGAGCCTCTGCAGATTTGAAGCCAACCCTCCGCTGGGGCAAACTCTAGGCAACAAGACCTAAAGAAAAATTTGTCCTACGGGACTTCCCGGGGAGGGCCCTTCCCACTGACGCTCGTCGTCCCCCCGGCGAAGCCGCTAAGTGCTTCTATTGGCTGCTCAGGATGCTAATCGGCGAGGCGGGCTTTCCATTGGCTTTGGGGCGGGCGCTCCGAGACAAGGGGGAAGGAGAAGGGATCAGGAGCGGGAGCTGAGGGGAGGGAGAGGCCGGTCCGGGTCTGGCCGCGGCAGCTGCTCGCCCGAGGTCTCCAGGCCGGGCTGCGGCTCCGTCCTCCGTTCCTGGGCACCGTCTGCGAAGCTCCGCCGGGCCAGCGTGGGAGAGCCGCAGGCGGCGACCGCCGCATCATGTCAGCCAAGGACGAGCGGGCCAGGGAGATCCTGAGGGGCTTCAAACTGTATCCGCCCGGGAGCGGGGCGGGGCCGGGAGGACTTGGGAGGCGGCCGCTCGCTGAGGAGACGGGCCGGGGGGCGGGGGCCGGGCCAGGTGGGCAGCGGACGGGAGCTCGGCGGGAGGGGACGGAGGGAACGGCGTCCGGGGCCCCGGCGGGACCGGGCACTGGAGGCGGGGCAAGGGGCGTCCTGAGGGAGGACGGGGACGTTGTCGGGAGTCCCCGGAGCTGGAGGCGGAGGAGCCCCGAACGAAATTGGGCTGGGAGAAGCGCCGGGCGTCGGAAACGGGTATCGGGGAGGCAGGCTTGGGTCCGAGCCTCGGCCCGTACCCAGAGGCCGGGAAGGGGCTGCGGCCCGCAGGGAAGGACCGAGGGGGCGCGGTGAGCTGGCCTCGAAGCGCAGCAGCCTGTTTGGCGGGAAGCCCCCGGGGGAGCAAGAAAAAGTGACTCGGAGCGAGTGACCTTGTGTGGGACAAATGCAAATGCTTGTGCTAAACTCTCCCGGGTTCCCCCATCCCACCCCACCCCCGCCTTGTTTCTACAACTTCTCTGCCTCACTTGTGGCTCCTTCCAGGGCTGGAGCAGAGGAAGGTGGGCGAAGAGAAGCCCGGGATCGACCTCATCTTAACTCTGTCTTGGCCTTTTGAGGCATTGGATGGTGGCTGCTTCTTTCTCAGCTTTTGACTTTTCTGTCCAGCGAAGTGAGGACCCTAAAGTCGTGCGTGAGGTGCCTTGAGGTGTTTTGGTGTTGCACTGGGACTCCTGGCAAAGGTATCTGCTCGCTCGCGTTTGTGTGGTTAACGCGTAGACAAGGTGGAGCTGTCCAGCAATTATTTGATTACGTTGGGGAGACGGTAGGATTTAGCAGGAGAGAGAAATCATTGCCTCGGGCCTGTTGTGCCGCTTGTGCAACCTTCCCTCCTTAAAGTAGTGAGGAAGCCTCGTGTTTTAATGGAGTGTCGATCTGTAACCATAGGATGCGGATGAAAAAATGCAATCCTGGACATTCCAATTTCAGATTTTCCTGCTGACCCTTAATCTCTTTTTACATCCTGTGCGTACAATAGGGAACATTCTCAAATTATTCTCTCAGTGAAATTGTAGTCATCACTTTAGGTCTCCTCCCCTAAAGGAGATTTAGTGAAGCACTTTTCTCTGAGCTGCCTATGTGCTTTCACAATGCGCATTTCACTCCTGCAAATTTTAATGGCTTTGTCACCGTCAGAGACCAAGTTGGTAGTAAATTTTAGAACACAAAATGCAAAAAAGTTACGGGACGCTTTGGATGTACAAATGAAAAGTTTCAAATGGAAGCTGACCTGTTATGCTTTCGGGAAAACGGAAGGCATTATCACCTAGGCATAATGCCATTCCTTATAAACTTTCAGTACTTTTATGTAGTGAAGTTTAGTAACAGCCTCTTTTATAGCTCCATGTGCCTTTTGGTGTTTCTCTTCATAATGGCACTTGTAAGTAAATAGGGATGGCTGAAGTGTTAGAAAAGCTATGACATGGATTTATTTTTCCCTTAATAACTTACATTGTTACTAAACATGTATGCTGTAGACAGTAAAACAGGAGACTGGAGAATTGAGAGATTTCCGAAGCAACGTTTTTGTCTGATTGGATTTAACATACTCCTGAACACAAGAATGAATCTTTTTTTTTTTAAAGATTATATTTATTTATTTGACAGAAACAGAGATAGCAAGAGCAGGAACACAAGCAGGGGGAGTGGGAGAGGGAGAAGCAGGCTTCCCACCAAGCAGGGAGCCCAATGTGGGGCTCAATCCCAGGACCCTGGGATCATGACCTGAGCCGAAGGCAGACGCTTAACGACTGAGCCACCCAGGTGTCCCAAGAATGAATCTTTTTAATGGCTTTCAGACAAAGCCGAAAGGGAAAGTTTAACTTCTTACCTCAGTCTGGGCTCTTGAAGCTGTTAAAAAAGAGGCTAAGGGACAAATGTGGAAAAGAGTAGAAAGAACCTACATCAGCCCACTAGAAGGGCAGGTGAATTAACCAGTTCAGTGATGACGTTAGTGTGTTAAGAAACACACTTTTGGAGAAGGTTTGACCTGAGCTGATTAAATCTCAAGGGAAGCAGCCACATAAAAAAGTTAGCATGAGAGCAAGAGGATGCTCATCCTCTGGTAGCCCTTATTGACATCTGAGGATTAAGAGAGAAAGGGAAAGGAGTTCTAAAATTTGCTATCTTCGGGGAAAAAAACAATGTTTTAGTAAAACAAACTACCTATTGTCCACCTTTTTTATTGGGTAAATTGCTCTCTGAATTTTCATTGTATCTGTTTCTGTTAAGAGTTTTTTCTACCAAAAGAAAGCACCATTATATTCTCCTACCAACAATGTTGACAATGCTCATTTCCACATTGACTGTGTCTGCCTTTTATATTTTTGACAATTTAGACAAGTGACACCTTGTTTTAATTTGTATTTCCCTGGATACTGAGATCCCTGGACAGGTAATGGAGCATAGTGGTTAAGAGCGATTCTGGACTGTAGAGCTATACTATCCGTGTTGGAATCCCAGCCCTGTACTCTTGGTTGTGTGGCCCTGAACAGCTCCTTTAACCTCTGCCTCAATTTCCTCATCTGTAAATGAGGATAAAAATAGTACTTATCTCATAGGGTTGTTGTGAAGATTGAATGAGTTGATAGCTGAAGCATTTAGAAACTAACACCTGTTGCCTAGTAAACATTATGTAGTAGCTCTTTTTTTTTTTAAGATTTTACTTATTTGTCAGAGAGAGGGAGAGTGCACAAGCAGGGGGAGGGGCAGGCAAAGGGAAAAGCAGACTCAATCCCAGGACCCTGGGATCATGACCTGAGCCAAGGGCAGACACTTAACTGACTGAGCCACCCAGGCGCCCCTGCATTTTGTGTCTTAAAGATTTATTTATTTGAGGGGCGCCTGGGTGGCTCAGTCGTTATGTGTCTGCCTTCGGCTCAGGTCACGATCCCAGGATCCAGGGATCGAGCCCCGCATTGGGCTCCTTGCTTTGCGGGAAGCCTGCTTCTCCCTCTCCCACTCTCCCTGCTTGTGTTCCCTCTCTCGCTGTGTCTCTCTCTGT